CAGGAAATAAATCTGTGATTTTTCCCAGTTCCCTCACCACTTTGCCCAAGACTAGCCCTCTTTCCTTGTGGATCAAGTACACAGCCCAAGTGGATACAGCTGCCAGCACAAGTTACAGGAAAGGTACTCCCAGAAGCGTGGCAGGACCTTTAGGGACAAGTACGATGGCTAAGCCCCTACTTGGAGGATCTTTAAAGCTAATGTGCTACAAGGCAGCTCCTCAGCACACACAAGCAGTCATACTAGCTTCAAGAAGCCCTGCTGCTCTATACCCTATAAAACACAACTCCCAGTACCAAAAATTAAGTGTGTACATAAGCTTTTGCACAACTGGGACCTGACCCGCTGCTCCTACACCACTGAAATCAACTGAAAATGCAACACTAATGCCTGAGAGCAAAAGAGAAGCCCAAATGGCCAACACACTCTACAAATGTGGGAAGGGGGCTGGTATAGAACAAAAAGCAAGAAAGAGACAGAGCAGTGAACTCCAGAGCCTATCTCGTTACTGCTACAGTTTTAGCACTGATTTTTTTTTAATGGCACACTTCACTCCTGCTCTCGCTGTCACATCAATATTATAGATACAACAGCAAAGGGAGGTCTGGGCCTCCTGGAAAGAGTTTCTTTTAGAGAAAGGCTCAACGGACAAACCAAATCTATTGCATTTGACCCTAGGGATGGATGAAGTGTAAAGTCTTTATAGAACTCCAAGGAGTCAAACAGCAATGCAGACATCCAGGCATCTCTCTCATAATCTTCACATAATTTGCAAAGTGCATCAGCATCCCTTTGTAAGGTGACATGTGGCATGCCCTTTATTTAGTCCCAAACACTTCAGAAATTCATAAGATGAATGCTACACAGTTGTTTTGGAAACATGTTTTCATACTTTTCACCCTATTTCCCCTGTGAGATCTACTTGAAATCCTATTTGACAAGGAGTTTACACCTTTTATAAAAGGAGAAAAGAAAATATAGTTATGAGAGAGGCTGTAAGGTATCTCAAATATTGACTGTGTTAACATTGCAGCTGCAACAGACCCATGGTCTGCAACTCTGAATGACCAGCCTTGTGCCTGTTCATCATAACAGAAAACAAAAATCAACCTAAACAAACCATTTGGTGACCAGGCGGGTTGCTCACACGCTGTACCACACCAGACTCCCTTCTGACAAGCACACTTACCAGGAGCCAGGCCAGGCTCCAGGTGTGCACTGCATTGCATACCCAGCTGATTACACAGCAGTTACCTGCATCTAACAAGGTTAATCAGGATTAATCTTCTCACCAATAAACTAGAGCAGTTCAAGCATTCATCCCCACTATTCGGAAAGCCACCACAAAAACACGTAATCACCTAACTTCAAAGCATTGGGCTCCTCTGCACCACAGAACACAAGGGCAAAAAGCACAATAAATACTCCCTTTGAGGGCAAACACAAGTTTCATGTGGAATGTAGTCCCTATCTTAAAAGGGAGTTAGGATCCACAATATTTGCAATAACAGCATCACACATTTATACGCTAATATGCATCCAGAAGTTAATTTGAAGCACAAGTTTAAGTGGTTCTTTCTCCTCTTACTGAGCTGCAACAAAGGAATATGGCAGCTGTTTAACAGCACATAACAAAACTGCAGGACTGCTCATGGCAGGAGAAATAATCTTCAGGGGAGGGGGAATTAAGTAAGTAAAATGCAATTACCTAAATTGAAATTTGGTCGTTAATGACCTTGTTCTTACAAAAATTGCTATATAGTTGTTGTGGTTTTGACCCTGGCTGGCAGCCAAAACCACAACAACCACTCACTCACCTTCCCCCCTCCATGGTATGGGAGAGAGAATTAAAGGGTAAAGAGAAAAGAGGCTCACGGGTTGAGGTAAGAAAAATTTAATAACTGAACTCCAATAAACTTGAAAATAATGATGACAATAATAATATATACAAATATACAAATGAGTGATACACAGTGACACTGCTCACCACCTGACAACCAAGGCTCATCCCATTCCCAGTTAATGATCCTGGAGCAGGGAGAGTCCTGAAACCACCATCCCAGAACAGAGATAAGATCCTGAGTGTCCAAGAGACCAAGACAACCCTGAGAGAGGGGCAATCCAGGGGGAGATGACCCGGACCAAGAGAGAGAACTTCTGGACAGAGACTCCTCTGAATACTGGGCATGACATGCATGATATGGAATGGACTATTTGCCAGTTTGGATCTCAGTCCTAAACCTAAGGTCAGATCCTAGGCTAGTAACTGGGGCTGTGCTCCCTCCCAGCTTCTCCTGCACCTGCAGACACTGGCACAGCAGAGGAGCTAAAAAGTCCTTGACTGTTCTGGTAGCAATTGTAAAGATCAGTACGTTATTAGCCTTCTTCTCAGCACAAATCCAAAACACAGCCTCACCCTAGCTACCATGAAGAAAGTTAACTCAGCTGAAACCAGAACAATACTCCTTAATGATCAGAGCTTCCATTTTAAGTCTCATCAACAGTACTTTTGTAACAATGATCATGAAGCTCTGGCCTAGTAGTAAGTCAATGAGAAGATTAATAGGCTTTTAATTAATGCCTTATTGTTTTTGCTGAATCTTCAGGAAAGGCCGGGTGTTGCCCTGTGACAATGACTCATCCTGGCTTTGCTTGGCATAAGCGCGCTGGAGACCCAATAGCCCAATGTAACAGTGATGAAAAAACTTCAGACAGGGAGAAAGTAGGCAAGCATACAAATTCTTAGGAGATATGACATGACTTTCATCCCTTACCAAGGGGCTCATTCCCAGTCAGGGATGAGACCACAGTGAGTGATCTGCCACCAGGCCATGGAGCTATACCATTTCTATGGTGCTATCAAAAAATGTGTGATGCCAAGAACATATGGTTACCTGCAAGAAACCTTCACAGTGCAAAAACAATCCCTCATTTGAAAAATTATGGGAACTACTTACTGCACAATTCATTCAAAATCAGGACCTTAGTGGTGGGGGGGAATCAAAAGAAGAGCTGAATCCTCTCCACTCAACCTCTACTTTTCAAATAGTCTCCTAACATCACACAGCTGAGCTGAAATCACAGCTCTGAAACCACCCTTTCAAAAGACTTCCAGCAGCCCCACCATTGCCTTTCACCCCCAGGTCACATGTAGCCAGGTGTAATGTCATCAACAGGTGATTGCATGAGGTTTTTTCCTTCCTTCCTTCTATAGCTTCTACAATAAAAATTATTTTCAGAGTCAAATACCACACATGTCTGAGGATTAAAACAAAAGTAACATTTAAACACTAAGATAGGCATATAGTGCCAAACTCATAGAATAACGTAGCTCTAACACCTTAAAACAAGCTCCTTGCTGTGTACCAATCTGGAGGGACTGTTTTGACTGACTTTTTTAGACAAAAACAGGGACAGGTTCTTCTTCCACACACAGTCTCCTTCCCCCATTCAAGAGCAAATCTTCATCCCAAACCCAGGCTATTACTCTTCTCTCATTTTCTGATTCCAGCCTTTGCACTGAGACACAAATCTTTCATGCTTTACTCTGAGGCCACCACATGCTGGGACAAAATTCGCAGGACATAATAACCAGTGCAGACACACTGTGATTTTAAAGCAATGCATAATTCAATATGAAGTTTTAAAATTTTAAGGAGCAGCCAGTAGAAAGAAAAGCAGAAAACCTAAATCTCCAACAAGTTCTTAGTTATGACCTGTGCTTGAGACCACAACACCTTTTTAAAAACTTCTGAACTTTAAGACAAAAACTCAGATCTGAAACCAAAACTTTCCCCTACATTTGAAATTGAAACAAATCTCCAGATTTATCAGCCATCTAAGATAATCTGTTACTGCTGACAGCACCTCAAGGCTTCACTGGGAGTTCGGCTCTTGAAGCTAAGGCTCCTATAAACTTTTTGCCTCTGCTGTGTGCCTAGACACTCAGATTTAATCTAGATGCATTCATCAAAACCATAACAGGCATAGTTATAGATAATACCCACCTAACAAGGAACTACGAAACTTACAGGTAGAAAGTGACATTACTTGAGATTTTTAGCCAGAAAAAGATTTCAAGTAAAACTTTAAACCAACCTCTTTGATGATCCATCACCTCCTCCACTTCATCCCCATCTGAAGAGTCCAAAAAGCAACATGGCCCCTCCACCTGTTTTTTAGATTGCATCAGGCTCAAGAGCCACAGAGGCCACTACTTCCTAACACCCTCAGTGCTAATGAGTTGGGCAGGTGGTCCTCACTTGCCCTGGTGAGTTACAAGAGCCTCCTTGCAATCAAGGCACTGAGTGTGAACAGCAACACGCGTGTGTGATTGCTGACGTCCTGTGCAAAGGAAGGACGTGCTTGCGTTCTGGAGGTCTCTCCCAGGACCTGCGAGGCGTAGCATCAAACTCCAAACAGATTCTCCCATTCACTCCTGGCCAGACATCACAGCAAGACATCAGTAGGACAGTGGTGTGTGCTGGCTGGAAAGGCAAGGGGTCACCTAGGTATCCTTGCAATTGAGGTCTGGGAGTGGTGGTTCCCTAACCAAGGGCAAGATGAGCTCTCACTAAAGCTTGTATGCTTGGAGGGAGGAGACACCTCTGCCACTCATGGCAGCCTGCCGACAAGCTCCTGGGCTAGCAACTCGCGCTCTGTCCCGGGGCAGAAACGAAAAGGCAGCTGGGAAGGGGAAGAACAGGCCTTTCTAAAATATCTCTCCTCACCCCTCCCCTCTCCCTTCACCCACCTCCCTGTGACAGGGGCTGTCAGCAGCTCTCTCTGAAGTCCTCTCCTTCATAATCATCTCCTTTTGATCACACACTAAAACAGCTGAGGTTCTCTTTAAATGCAAGTGAGGAACAAAGCAGGTTGTTAAATATGTAGGAAACATCATTCCTTACCTGTCAGGTGCCCCAGGACAGCAGAGAGAGGGAGGGATGGGGCAGGGGGAAGCGAGAGGTGGGGAGGGAGAAGGGGCAGCTCGGAAAGGATATGGGTTGCACACCATTTTGATGCACCAGTTCCGTGGGCTGGTGGTCTGCTTCAAGCAGAAGAAGACAACCGGGGCCAAGTCGGGGTAGGGGACATCAGGGTCCAGTGGGGAGGTGACTTCCTCATCCTCACCCAGCTCCGGGGAGGACGGTGGCTGCTCTGGTGGCGTTTGCTGCTCCAAGATCCCCAGATCCACAGGCTCCAGCGGGCAGACGGCAGAGCCATGAGGGGGCTGCGTGCCCACCTGCCGGGTGG